AAGGAGGCTCGCGGGGAGCTGCCGGCGAGGCCTTCGTCCCCTGCAGAGGCACCCTGCGGAGCCAGCCAACGGTGTCCAAAATTCAGTCTGGCTCCATCGCGCATGGATGCTCCCTGATCCCAGGTGGGGATTTAGGGAGACCAGAACAACCTTCATAGAGTCTGTGCAGGTGGGAAATAAAAAATATAAATAAATAAAAAGCATAAGCAAGCACCAATGATGGTTCATTCCCGGCCCGGGCGCCTCGCTCTCGCACCGCGGGAACAGGCGCAAAACATTTCCCGCTGCCGCAGGGCAGGGCGAAGGCGACGCCGGATGCAGAGCAAGGTGAAGGGAGCACGGAGCTGGTGCCACATGACCCACCGTGCCACCGCCGACCCCACGGGTGGCCCTGAAGCCCCCTCCTGCCGGCACACGGCCCCGGGCGGAGGGAGCAGCGCCGTGCCAAGCGCGCTCTCCGTGCTCAGCCGGAGGAGACGGAGAGGAGCAGCGGTAGGAAGGAGAGAGCTTCCCCCAGGAGCACCCGGCTCTGCTCTTCCTGAGCATCCCACCATCACCGGTCCCACTGCCCAGCGACTGCTCGTGCTTCTCTCCTTCCACTGGGAGAAGGCCAGGTAGGAGGTTTCTCTCCCGCCTCCACCATACGCCAAAGGCCCAAAAGCCACCCAGGAAAAGGCCAAGCAACCGCGGGAGGCACCGAGTCCCGCTCTGGCCGGTACCACACCGGGAGCCGGGCAGGAGCAGCAGACGTCCCTGTGACCCAGAGGACCCTGCGCCGGGACGGAGAGCCAGACGCGCTCGGCACGGACGCGCTGGGCTGACAAGACGCTAAAGCAAATTGATAGCGAACTGACCAACAAGAAAAGATGATATCAAAGAGGTAAATTTATAGCCCATCCTTCAAAGTTATAAAAATGCTTTTGGACTGCGCGGAGATTACTCATGCGAACCCCGTCAAGTTTTCCTTTCTTCCACTTTATTGACAAGGGCTATTAATCTTCTCCCTCAACTTCGGGCCTTTCCACGCATTCATCTCTCAACGCGCAGACAAGTCTCTCTATCTTGTCAAGATAATTACCCGTTCGAAAAAGGGGTGTAACAGACTTTACAGCAGAGCTCAGCCGGCGGGGACGGCCCAGCCCCGCTCCGCTCCAGGACGTCCCGCCACGCTTCCCAAAGGTCCCTCTGGTTCACGGCGCGCGGTGGCAGAAGCCGGCTGCGCTGCCGCTTGCACATCAGCAGGAGGCCCCCGGGGCTGCTGCTCCGGCACCTTTCCCCGGGACCCAGCGGCTTTTCTCAGACGGCCGCGGGGGCGGGCCGGGGTGG